GGCAAACATGTGTTTGCGCGTGCGTGTTGCCCGCGCAAACACGGACAACTGGCTGTGCAAGAGCAGACAGAGGCACCAGTGCCTAGTAGACGCCACACAAACGCTCCCCTCCGCATTGGGGGGGGGGCCTTGCGCGTGTGTGCATTTAAGTTTTCTGGGACAGAAACAAGGCAAGATCATTTTTCGATGGATGCTTCCGAAAGACGACCAACGCGAAGGGGATGATGGTTGGGTGCAGATGTTTGACGGGTTCGAAAGGCTCAACCTCGATGCCACAGGGGAGGGCAGAACACCGTGGCCAACCAACGCCACCAGGGTGCAATTCTGAATGCATCCGGCGCAGCACAAGCGCACGCCGAGCATCCCTAGGTTCTGATTCAATTCGCGTCCCTTCAAGTGGTGGGGTGCTGTCTCGGGGAGAGTTGATTTTCCTCAAAGAAAAACAGACGGAGAGACTGCTGCAGGTTTTCGCCTCCTGCTTGCTGCCTGGAAAATAAAAAACACGATTTCCGGCCGCCACACCCCACCCGCTGTTGCTGCTGCTGCTGCTGCTCACCGTTGGTCCCATCACAGGGGACAAGTCGAGCCCCGTAGCCGCGACCCCCGAAGGCGACGGGGTGGGAGCTGAGAGGTCAGGGTCAGTACCGTGATGGAGTGGCGACCTTGTCGTGGGCAACAGCCCCGGCTCGGGAACACCGCTGAAAAACACGGAGAGCCGCGGAGGGAGAGAAGAGGGGAGGCCAGCGCAAAGAAAAAGCAGAAAAAAACCGGGTCTGAGTTTCCGGGTGCTTGGACTACACGACAGCGTAACGCAGCATCGCATGGGGCTTGACGCTGAGCTTGCCGAGAGGCAGGGAGCAAAAGAGAACACCTCTGCGTGAGAACCCTTTTCTGCACCAGGCAGGAACAGCAAACGCAACACAGCTACAATCGTGAAAGCTGTCGTCTGTCTTGTGCCTTTCAAGCCAGCGTATGGCCAACCGCACACACAATCGACCAAAACAACACTCGACAATCTGCAATCTGCAGGTTTTTCGCCCTCTCCACCTCATGGATGCACAGCTTGCACCCGCGTCATCGAAGCAGTCGGTCGGAGGCATGGCCGCAGACGGAAAAGGAACGGCTGACGTCGAGTTGAACGGCGCGTCGAGTTGTCTACTATGTATATCGGGTCTCGCCTTGTTCCGAGTGTTTTGGACCCAGCAGCGGGTTTGGACGAATTTGCGAAGATAACGCCTTCGAAGCAACAACGGTCAAAAGCGGGGTTGGGGGACGCAGACGAAAATAAAAAAAGGGCACTTGGGTAAACGCTGGTTGGTGGTTGGCCTGGCTGGACTTGAGGGCGCGCCACATGGCGCGTACAGACAGGGGGGGAGAATTGGCTTCCGCTACATAACGGCCGCTCCTCGTGTCCTTCCCTCACGGTAAGGGTTGAAAAGGTCTGACAGGCATACCGAGACGCACAGCAGAAAACGTCAAGATATGCCTGGGCGGGTGGATACACATGCCATAATCGTCTGGATACCCTGTAGACCGTGTTCGGCGATTTGGGCCGCACGTGTCTTCCCTGTGGGGAGAGAGCTTCCGACATTCAATATCGACAGCCCGGACGTTATCCCAGGCTGCAGTTCTGATATTTCGTGCGTACCTCAATTTTCGGCACAGGCAGACCGACAAATGCGAACACTTATGCAGTTGTACCCCGCTTTTTAGTGTGGTTCAAGGGTAGCCGTTCCATGGCTCTTGCCCAACCGTCCTGATGCACAACAGCAGAGTTGCACGCTGCTCGCGCTCCGGAATGGTTGAAGTTGCACGAGAAAAATTGCGCGAAGAACCGTGCAACCGTGCTGCGCGCTGCACGATACATGCGTGACATGTTGTGCATACAGTATTGCTGCACGCGAGGCGTCGCAGCAGCAGCATCAGCGTGTCACTTTGTGCTGTAGAAAGCACCAACATTCATTCGTTGCTCGTGCACGAGACCGCTCGCTACCCACAAATAACCAAACTACATTAGGTCTGTAGATGGAAGAAACAGCAATCCAACACACAGGACACCAACAACAGACAACAGGGAGGGTAACCACGTGGAGAGTGCAGGGCGTCTACAGAGGGACTGCTGCCAATGTCGACTTGCAGTGAAAGTAGTTGTAGCTCCATAGTGCGTGCACCAGCTCAATTTGGTAGATTGCACTCTGCTCATTATTCGGTACAGACAAGCTGCAATATTATATTTTTCAGTTTCCCAAGAGTTTCCTAAAAATATTGTTGGTGTAGTCTACAGACAACGACCAAGACACGAACACTGACAGCCAGTGTCACCGGACTGCACAATGACATATTCATCAATGAGAAACTGCACAACGTGGAAAATAGGGACAGGCGCGGCATAGTCTAGAGCAGCACACGCGCGAGCTTGCAGACGCAGCCAAAGCCACGTGCATGTTACCGCACACGTCCCACTTCACCCACACGCCATTCGAATAGGGCAGGTAGGCAGAGAGGCAAGCAGGTCAAGCAACACCCACAACACAAACTTGTCATCGTGCTGCCAGGTTAGCTAAATAGATAAATAGCTAAATAGGCATGCCCGACTCATGAGTCCTGCGGAGGTGTCAACTTGAGCTCTTTCACTACGTCTTCGGCGGATAGTCGGTACAATTTGCCGCAGAACTCGCACTTGACTTCTATCGTCTCCTCCTTCTTCACCAGCTCTTCGACCTGTTGAAATGGGCGGTTGTGACGTTGCGCGTTTCAAAAGTTCCGGGAGCCACGACGTTCATGTCTGCCAATTTCGGCAGTCGGTTGGCATGTACAAGTACTTTGATTGCCTCTCACCCGTTGGTGCTATTATAGTCACTTTGTACTTCTGTACAAGTAGGCGCCCGGACACAAGAAACTTCAGTTTCGGATCGAGACTCGATTTCTTATTTCGTAACCATCGTCGCGTTCAGGGAAATATTATAGTAGAAATTAGGGCAGGATCCTGAGCTGGCTGTGTTTTTTACCCAATTTTAATATTTTGCTAACATATTTGAGGCGTTTTTTCGTAACGGTACACTCCTTAACTTTGGGGGGCCGAACTATTGTAACACAACCGCACCACGCTTGCTCCCAAGAGAAATACCACCACCAACTGACAAACAAGCCGTCATACCACACAACATATACCCAGCGATGGGACTTCAACATGCACCTGCTGCGTACCAGCCATACCCCCCCCCCCGCCCCTCCCCCCCGCAACTCTATAGCCACCACCGGTGACGTCGCACCTCTGTCTTTTCAAGGAGCTTGAGCGCGGTGTAGACCCTCTCGTCGGAGCAGTGGCACAAGAACTCCGGTCGCTTGTAGGTGATCGCCCCCACCCCCCCCAAGCCCTCGAGCAGCGATTCCACGATGCTTATCGGTGTCATCCCTCTACCCATCAGATCGCTGGGGTCCGATGACTGTTGTTTTGGTCGGGGGAAAAAAAAATGTAAGCGCATGTTGTGTGCTGCAAGCAACCGTTGGTGGCAGTTTCTATCTCTGACGGAAGAGCTCTCGTCTGCGGCAACACCCAAGGGGCCATGCAGCCCGATACCTGGGACTAAGGCGAGTAGAGCAGCCAACCGAGTACAACCTCATATATGTTGGCTGCGGTTGAGCTAAACGATTCAATTCCACAAGCTGTTGCGAAGCGGACGGTTGGACAACCCGGACGGCGTGGCTACCCGTTGCTACGGCGGCGGCGAAGGGTACGCTTTTTGTACAAACGATGTGGCTTCTTCGCCCTTGGCGACTGACCTTCAAATGCAAAACGACGCCCGAGTGCATTGTACAAATGACCCCCACGCCCCTACAACCCCCTTGGCCCGAAGACTTCTCGGATAACAGGGGAAAACCGAGGCGCTCAAACGATACAAGAATCCGCTCTACAAGGAAGGATAGTGCTGCTCCGTATTGGAACAGACGCGCGGGGAACTGGTCGCCTGATTGGGGCAAGCAACACACGAGTAAATATCCCCTATGGTCCCTACGCCCACAATGCAGAGTTTGGTATGTTGTTTCCCCCTAGGCAACGCGCCAACCTCAGGAACGTACGCTGCGCCGGCTCTTATTGCCACATGTATGTAATGTTGGGGTTCGAATTACATGTTCAATTCTGTGACTGTTTCCGCAAGGTTGAGTCTTTTTTTTTTTTCGGACGCGTGGCTATGTATCTATCGCATGCTGTATTTTTGGAACAAGAACATGACGTGCGAACAAGTCTTACCCTTGCAAGAAGCTTCGCGATGTTGTTGATCACGGTCTTCTCCGTCTCCTCTGAAGCTTCGGGCAGAGTCTCCAGCATGTATCCCCCCGCCTGTCGGACCAGCGCATCCTGTTCTCACCGTGAAACAACGTCATCCACGGTGGCAAAAAGGGGTAACAAAACAATGTGCGTGTTGGTGTACTTAAGGTTCATCTCGAACATTGCGTTTGGGGTTGATCGAGACCTTCCAAGGCCAACAACAACAACAACAACAACACACGAGATGCAGAATCCGTGTTTTCTCGGGCGAAAAAACAACGACATGCGTTGCGAAACAAACACCGAGTAAACAAAAAACGTGTATTTCCGTGAGCAGGTAGCGCACATGTACCCCCAACAAAACAAGTTGAGCCAGATCAAAATGGACGTGTATCAAAATGGACGTGTTTCAAAATGAGAACGATTCTCCGAGGCGCCTTCCGTCCTGGGTCTCAACCATTGAAAAAACATCTTGTGCCTTCTTCCCTTACCGTAACGAAGCAACCGGCAGCAATGGCGCATGACTTCTGCTCGGATTCCGCCAGGTAGGACGCGGCGTCGTAGGCCACCTCTCCCGTCTTGAGGGCGGTGATGCCCGTGTATGGTCTCTGGTAGTCGGGGTGATTCCTCACGACCTATGCACAAGGGCGTGACAGGTGGACGACGGCAGCGGTGGCACACTTGTGTGGATGTGTACTGCTGTACCTCACTGCTCCTGCGTGGGGATGGTTACTGGGCTACTCGCAACGCACCCCGACCAGGAAAAAGACCAAGGAAGACAAAAAAGGTCGCAAGCAAGTATGGCAAGTTTCGTTTAGCCATCTTCCAATGCCTGCAGGCTTTGGCGGCCACGGAATAGCGGTACCCTCAGGTTCTCGACAAGCGGGTCTCCACCTGGGTGTGATTAGTGCAGCGCTGTACACATTCGCCCGGGTCATGCACCACATACACACACAGGCATCCGCATACCTTCAGTAGGCCTTCCCCTATTCCTTGAGCCACGTCTTGGTTCCCGTTGTCCTTCAGCGGGAGTTCCACCTGCCGAAAGGGCGCGCGAAGGAACAAGAAACGCTTGGATCTAGAGCAACCCTCAGGTTGTAGTCGGCCTCCTCTCATACAGTCATAAACACTTCAGGGGCTACAAGTCAAAACGAAGCAACAGTGAGAACAACTGGCCGGTTGGCTGCTCACAGACCAAGCGGGACCAACAAAATGGGTATGGTTAGTGACAAGAAAAAAGAAATACAGCAAGTCAAACACGTGGTTTCTACTTTCGACCACGGCCGAAATATTCTCCAAAAAACAAACGTACAGGTCATAACGTTTACTTTCGTTTCGTTTTCATCGGCCACCATCGGCCACGAAGTCAACTGCTGTAGATCCACTGACCTTTCCGTTGGTCACGTAACCCCTGACCCCCCCCTCCCCGTCGCTGATCGCCACGACGCCCCCCAGCGGCCCACTGCCACTGAACGAGAGCTGAAACGTCTCCCGATCCTTCAGGCCACCGGCCATGAGCATCGTGCAGACCATGACCCTCCCCAACGCATCCGCTGCCAACGGGTACAGATCTTGCCGGATGAGGGCATCCTTTTGCAGTTCATGGTCATAGGCACAGAAAAGAATTTAACGGGGCAGTGCATGATGGGGGTGGGATTGACAAGGCAAGTCCCGCGTATCGTGAAAACGTCCCATTCTGGAAAATACTTGACCCATGAACGTGCCCGTCCGGCCGATGGCGCAGAGATATTTCTGTTAGCATGCGCTGAAGCTCCACCCAAACCAAATACCAATGCTCACAATGCTCAAGTGTTGTCGCCATTAGGGTAGATGTGTTCGTTCGATGGAAATGCGCAACAACCCTTCGATGGAAAACGCGGGCAAGCACGAGGCAGACGACAAATACTGTACAAACAAAGAGCGACGCAGGAGCGGTCATGACACCCCAAAAACCCGCGACAGCAGAAAATTGGGAAACACAGCAGGCACCCCACCACCACCACCAACAGCAGCAGCAGCAGCAGCAGCAGCAGCAGCAGCATTACCACCGGCAGAAGCAGCAGCAACAGCTGCAACAACAAACAAAGTAACAGCGCGCGAAGACGAAGAAAAAGCACCATCGTACTTACCTGCAGGAGATTCCGCGCGGTCACCGCCCGAGCCACGACCTGGCCGTTACCGGCCACCGCCGACACCATGTGGTCTGCGTCGTTCCCCACCGGGGCTGTGTTGTCGGCTATCGCCTTCCCCCCCTCTTCTCCTCCTTCGCCCCCGCCGCCTGCGTCCTTCCCTCCACCCGAACCTTCGACAGGATCTTGGGAGGAATCGTCCTCAGAGCCCTCCCCCGGCGTCGCAGCGCAGCACCGTCGGACTCTGCTGGTGCAACTGGCGGTTTTTTTTTTTGGGCGGGCGGGGGATCAAGACGCGCGTGCACCGGCGTTGTTGTGTGATTTTGCGCTTTGCACGGGACCGTTGCAGGCCGAGCGCCTCGAGCCATTTGGGGGAGCAAAACAGGTCACCTTCCCGGCGCGTGTTGGCGTGCCTGGCGTCAGAAGCAAGGCATTGGCCTGTTTCCTCCCGCTCACACGCACATGACTAATTTAGAACCAACTAACTTCACCCCAAGGCCACGAAGTTGACCAGGGTCACGAATAAGACCAGTGCGGTGAGAGCAGCGCTAAAAATCGGCTAATTTGGCGTTCCTGGAACTGGAGTTGGGAACCCACAAAAACACAGGCGGTGTCAAGTTGTTGGCGGTTTCTTCAAATCTTGACATAGATGGTGTGTGCTCCCAGCAGGGCGCAGCGGGGTGCATCCGGAATGCGAATCTAACCTACACGTAATACACATGGTACTCCTGTTGCCGCTGCGGTCATGCCCAAGCCATGTGTTAGTGCTATACAAAACCGTTGTGTAACCCGTCACACGTGCGTGGCACGTGGTCGAGGGCGCGGACAAATGGCGTAACATACCACCCTCCCCCCCCCCCCCGCCGCCTAAATCCAATTTCAAACACACCAAGCGTCCATTCCAGTCCAAAAAGGACCAATGAATACGAAGGCTGAAATTCCCTCCCGATCAAACGGGGCGCGAAGTACGCGCTCACAGCACGGTGCACATTGTTCCCGGCCTAGGGCAGCTTCTACGGCCGGGGCTGCGCAGGCCAGTTGATGTCCAGTTGGCTCAGCATGAGCCGCAAAGGATCATGAACATATACCAGCGAGACCATGTTACTGCTATGAATACCCACGCAACTACCCAAAGCAACAACCTACATCAGTGAACACTGGACGAACGAATAAGCACCTGCGTGAGCGCCAGGCCCTGCTGTGCCATGACCTGCTGGTGCTGCCATACGATCTCGTTGAAGGGGATGAAAGCGGTGCTCGAACGAAAGCTGCATTGGTGTTCGCCTCGATGGCGACAGCAGACGCGGTTCGAAGAGCCGCGAGATATGCTAGCGCTAGTCGAGCCATGCTCCACCGGTAGGGCATACACTCTCTGGCGTCTGGCGGCGTGCAGGCCGCGCGCTGTGTGTCGGTGCGATGCTGGACTGTCGGCTGATGACTCGACGTGGTCTGGGGAGACGCGCAGCGGAGAATGCAATGCAAGTGGTATATATGATTGACACAGCATTGCGCGGGGCGCGGACCGTTCTGAGAATCGTTGCTCTCGGTGGTCCTTGCTCCGGGATGACAGCGCTCGAGCATCGCCCTCCAAACCACACCACACCACAAACCCTCGCTACCGGCAGAGCTACACAACTGGAGAAGAAAACTACACCTGAAATTGATTGTAGGTTGTTTGTTGATTAGAGAGCGAGAGAGAGAGAGAGAGAGAGAGAGAGAGAGAGAGAGAGAGAGAGAGAGAGAGAGAGAGAGAGAGAGAGAGAGAGAGAGAGAGAGAGAGAGAGAGAGAGAGAGAGAGAGAGAGAGAGAGAGAGAGAGAGAGAGAGAGAGAGAGAGAGAGAGAGAGAGAGAGAGAGAGAGAAAGAAAGAGAGAGAAAATGGCGGAACGCAGATCTGTGACACCACCAGAAGATCGAGACATGGATCCGGCCATCATTACCAGCAACTCAGCCACGAACGTTAGTTCGCTCACGACGCTGCGACTGCGAGAATACTCGGCCCCGACAGCTACGGGGAGGTGCCTGCTAGCACAGTTCACAGACAGAGAAGTCATCGTGTACCAGGCGTACAAGCCTGAGCTCGGCAATTTCGCCGTCGAGAACCAATACTTCGGCGGTGATGGCTTCAACTTCAAGAGAACGTCATGGGTCAAGCCGAACTTCACGTGGATGATGCACCGTTGCGGCTGGGCAAGCAAGCAAAATCAGGAGGTGGGAATAACTGAGGGTTGGTCCAGTTCGTGTGTTCCGGGCGAGGCTGTGGCCACTGAAAAAACAAAAGCATCGTCCGTGGATACTGCGGGGCGGTCAAAGCCTGATCTGTAGCAAAGTCCTCAGCAGCACATCCTTTTCGTCTACGATGTACACTCCCCAACGGAGAGCTTTTGGACAGCTAACAGTATTTTCCTGCTCGGCACTACATGTTATATTGTCAGCCTTTTAAAGTATATATTTTCAACTCCTTCCACCAAATGGCAAGGTGCCTAACCAAATTTGCCCATCCGTGTGGGCCCGCCCTCTAAACCCTGTAATTCATCAATGTTGCAATATTCCTCCGCGTCGCCCGCCGGACACTCAAGGTCGTCCTGGCGCTGGCCCTCAGGAGAGATTTCTGGGACGACGTTCTGTCCCAGGCCGTTATGTCCAACTACGAGTCGTACCGTAGTACCATGTCCGCTGAAGTACCGCGCGGGGACGCGCAGAGACGATGGAAAGCATCGCTCCAGGCATCGGACGTGGTCATGCAGTGGGATCCAGACCACATGCCGTTCACGGGACATAAGACGAATCACAGGTAGTCCGCGACTCTGCCTGCAAGTCAGTGTTGTGTGTTCAGTTGTTACGTGCGTTCATGAACAGCAGTGAGGCTGAAACTTCAGGAAGTGTACACTCAGGTTTCACGGAAGCTTGCGCGTGAGTGTGCCCTCCTAATGTAGACTAATGTACATGGTTCAGAATGCAATACTACCCCAGCTCCAAAGACAACAAGAGCATGCGCTTTCCAAAAGCTTACTGCAGTGTTCTTATTAAGAAACTAAACGCATACTTTCGGGTCGAGGCTCATTGTTTTCTTGTTTCGCATCGAGCGCAGGTTGTTATCTGCTGGTAGAGTTTAGTCTAGGATCCGCCGCTCAGCTGTTTTTCTTTTACCTATTTTCTTATGCATACAAGTATGTATGTAGTGTTTCGCGAAAATGGTACTGTAGACATACTTCCATTTCATATCGGAGTAGTAGTAATTGCGGGTCCATTGCGTATCATGAATAACGTCAAGGACATCGTGGTGGTAGAGACGCAGGCACTCGATGGAACTTTTCTGTAGCTGCTCCACATGATATATGTGTGTCAAAGATGACGGCGGACGTGTGTTCGTTCCCGTCGCCGAGTGAGAAAAGATGTCCCATCCCCCCCCAGGCGCTGAGCTCGTGCCATCTCATAACTTGCTGTGTGAACCGTGCGTGTTGTCACCAAGAAGACCACCATGAACCCCCGACAAACCATCGATTCCCACGCCCTAACATCGACGTTACAACCGGATGCGTTCGCCCTGTTTTTTTTTGTTCCTCAGAGCTATTCAGCTGGGCCTGCGGGGTGACGCGCTGGCCGCGTTCCGTGGGCCGGCGTTCGGGGAGACGGGCATCCAAGACGTGAGCGCCTTCGCCAAGGCGACGGAGGAAATACACCGCCCGCGCGCTGCCGACGGGGGAGGGGGGGGAGGTCATCCCGACGCCCCGGCGGCCACGCCACCCCCCCCTGCTCTGCTGCTGCCCATCGAAGAGACCTATCCTGTGGTGGACGCCTCGGTGGCGCAGCGGCTGGGAATCGATTATTAGCAGGCCCGAACAGGTTTCAGGACGGGGGGGTGGTGTGGGTTATGACCTGATGCTCCCACCTGCGATTCTCCACCACGATGAGACACGAAAGTCTTTGTGGATATCGTATAGCCTTATCGCTTCATAGTTTCTTCCCCGCGGACCCTGCCATGTTTGGTTGAATGTTGGTGAAGGACGACTAATTACTGCAGCGCCGCCGATTCCTTGAGTTGCAAGGCTCTTGTAAATCATGTTGTGGATTCGTTCTTGTTTTTTTGCTTTCGTCCTATTTACTGTAGGCGCCGGCTTTGTACGAGTTCCCAGGTTGTTGAAGTATTTATTGCATCCTTGAGCCCTTCCCGTCAGGGTGGGCGTGACGGAACAAAAGTTTCCTCTTTGCATGCTATTGTCAGTCGATATCATTGACAGAGGAAATGATGTACGAAGCCCGATATCCCGACAGGGTTCTCATTGCATTATCCCCAATTGTCGGCCTTTGGGAGCTCTCGATAAACACAAGATGCGAATTGTGCCCAAGAACTCTTACTTCCGGTGCCGTCCACTTGCACAATTGCAACAGCAGTGAACATCTACTTGTTGCGCGTTGCGAAGCACCGAGCGTGGTAAAATAGTTTTAGAGTGGGCATTCAATCCGACGTGCGGTGAGATTCCTCACTCCAATTTCAGGCGCAGACATCAAAGGCGTCCTGCGAGCAACTTGAGCACGTAGCACATGCCAAAACAGTTTCACCAGCTTGATTTCGAGCTGGCCCGTTCCCTCGCGTAAGTAACATCTTTTTGCTTTTGGCTTCCTCAAGCAACGCCGGCTGTGACACAACATCCCTCGTGTCTAATAGTTTCAGGAGCTGGAATTGAATTGGCCAACGTTAATGGCAGTCAGCCTCAACTTCTACCCTCTACTCGTACTCCCTTGTGTCCAGGGTTCGCAGAACCAAGAACCAAACGCCGTTGTCTCCCATGCCACCGTTACACTCCGCAGAAAGTATCAAGGCCCTATTGAGGGTACGACGAGTGAGACCCAATGCATATGCGCTGCATAATTCGCTCAAGCGCTTGTTATCGACATTCTAATTATGTCCACAACTTGGTGAAAGTGGGAAAAAATACCGGTCGTGAGGGTAAGGGCAACACCAAACAAGAAACCACCAGCTCGCCGAAGCAACAACGCGCACCCGAAACCCCATTGAGAGACGAGACAATGTAACGAACACCGTGGGAAACGACCACAACAGCCACCGTCAAGAACAGGCGCCAGAACCCGCAGAAAGCAGCAAACACCGCAGCAGCAGCAGCAGCAGCAGCAGCAGCAACAGCAACGCGCCTAACAAGGCGCTGGTGAAGACATCACAGTTGAACGAAAAACCACGAAGCACGACGACCACAGCCATCGCCAAGCACAGTCGGCAGAACCCGCAGAAAGCAGCAAATATAGCAGCAACGCTCTAGCGCGCCTAAACGAGGCGCTGGTGTAGGAGCGACCACAGCATCCGCCTGCGCATCTGCGAGATGTCCGCCTGTCGGAAGTCGAAGGGAAGGTCGTCGCTAAGGTAGGAGGCGAACGACACCGCGAACGCTCCGCAGTCGCTGCCGTTCTCCTGCCGAACCAACACACACAAGAGCAAACCGACACCATTTTCGATACGGAGGTAAAAGTACACGTCCTACACTACACGTTGGTGATATGCATAGTAGTCGTAGTGCTGGCCGAGAATGCCCTGTGCTGCATTCTTGCAAACGACAATATCCGGACCCATGAAAAGTGGCGTTGTTACGTTGTTACCAACGACGACGACAACAGCAACAATGATAGCAACAACAAACAACAACACTACAATGCAACAACAACAACAACAACAACAACAACAACAACAACAAACAACCTTCACCTGCTGGGGGGTCGAGGCCACCTTGGTCCCCACGGTTGTCCAGTCGTCTGGCTCGAACGTAGCGTTGTCTCCGTTCTTGTCCTCATCCTCGTCCTCCAGCCACAGCAGCAGATCTTCCCGCACGGACTTGCCCCCTCCGCCCATGCTGTCGTAGTAGTTGATGCGCTGAAAAAGCGGCCCACCAAAAACGATGCAACAAGCGCTGCTGTAACCGGGTGACACCCGCCAGCGAATCTCAATTGCACCCTACTGCTGTGTGACTGTTTCCCTCCGCTAGATGGTATAGACCGCTTCGCCCGTGGCGTCAAGGCTTGAACGCGAACCTTGTCGCATCCATGCCCCCTGCTGATCCCCGCGGACCGTCTGACTACTACGCGTTTGTTTCTTTTCATGCGTAGCATACAAGTAACGGTACGGCTAGCGCGAACCACGAACGACGAACGAAGCATCGAAGAAAAAAACAAAAAAGGCCGACCGACTTTTTACACAAACCTTCTGCTGCACGAATATGACCGCCATGCACCAGTGGGCATTCGACACATTGACCGGTACGAAGATCTTGTCCATCTCAAACACCTTGACCCTGGGAAGCGGCCGGACCGATCGCGGGGGTTGGGTGGGGGGGGTCTGTGGTCGAAAAACAAAGAATTATTTCGACTCAAGTCTGGGGGTAAGTGAGAAATAATGCCACCAAGTACCCATATCATGCAACACGCCAACTTTCGTTTTAGGAGATATTCTATTTTTTTATCCCCTTTATTCTGGACGTATCAGCCGGGGTAACTGAGGACTGGAAAAAAGAGCATCTAGTACAAGACTATTATCCCAGAGGACTCAACAGAGAGCGGGGACAAACGCGATGGTATACACGCGGCTCATGGGAGGAAGGAGGCCCACGCAAGAACAGCTGGATCCGTCACAGCAAGTCCGTGCACGTGTTGTTGTTGTTGTCGTTGTTGTCTTCACATTAAAAACCGTTCCGATCTCTCTCTACCCAGTACCTTCCTATGTCCGTACTGATCCAACACTCGACGCGGTCGATTCCCGTGGTCACAAGTTAACTTACCCTAAAAAGGTACACTCAAATAAACTGGCCCCGAGGGGTCCGCAAGTCAATAGAAATCAACGACAGATATTCTGGAATCCTCCACTCCCTCTTCGCGCTATGCGAGGTATCAACTGCACGTGTGCACGAAGAAGAGAGCCTGAACCACACCCGCGACAACCGCCGCCGCCACCGCCGCCATGGCTTCTCCAGAGATGGGCAAAAAAAATAAAAATGGATCACCAAACAATAACAACTGGAACACACTTGTGACCCATGCATGCATGGACCTGGCGTGGGACGCCAAGACTCGAACTCACCTTCGTGTCCATCTCTTCACGCCCGTGTAGTTGTACTTGCAGTCCATGCCCTTGAGCTTGGTCAGGAAGAAGGAAGTGAAGAAGTGTGATTGCCGTCTAGAGGGGTTCGCCTTGCACAGCTTGGTCGGAGGTGCGCGCGTACACCGGGGGGGGGGGGGGGGGGGGACCCCAAACCCTTTCTGCCCCAATCCTTAAAACCTTTACCCCCCCTCCCCCCCAAACCCGGGAGGAACCCCCCCGAATTTCCCCCAAACCAGGCCCCCCATCCCCAAACGGGAAACCCCCCGGGGGATTTCGGGAAACCCTTAAAGGGGGCCCGCCCCCCCCTGAAGGGGTTTCGGGCCTTTTGCCCACTTTCCTTTGTTTGAAAAACCCCCCCTTTTTAAAATTTTTTCCTTTCCGGGAAAATTTACCCCTTTGTAACTTCCCCCAGGGGGGTTTACCCAAAGAAAAAAAAAGGGGGGACCGCTTTTTTTTTAAACTCTTTTGCCAAGCAAAAAAAACCCCCCCCCAAGGGAAAAACCCGGGGGGGGGGGGGGGGGGCTTTTGTAAA